TTGATGTACAATATTGTATTGGTTTCAAGTATACAACATAGTGCTTCAACGGTTACATACATTATTAAATGCTCACCCCAACTAGTGTAGTTACCATCTATCAACATAGAAAGATGTTGCAGAACCACTGACTATATTCTCTATGCTGTACTTTCATCCCCAGGTCTTATTTATATTATGACTGAGATTTGGTGGTTACCCACCCACCCACCCCAACCATTCCCCCCATGTAACCACCAGTCTCTTCGCAGTGTCTGTGAGACCGCTGCTGTTTTGTTCATTTTGTTTTGTTTTGATTTTAGATTCCACATATAAGTGAAATTTTATGGTATTTGTTTTTCTGTGCCTGGCTTATTTCACTTAACATAATACCCCTTAGGGACTTACTACATTCTTTAAATAAAAGTTCCCTGGCATTGTAACCAGCTAAAACAATTAAGTTGACAAACTTATTTGGAAATTTATGAATAATTGAATACACGGTAAGATTTTGTAAAAAATTATTCATCATAAGTAGAAAACAGATGTATAGACCACCTTCTAGGAAGAAAGGTTTTGCGATACAAACAATATCACAGGGCTAACGTTTAACCTGCTTAAGAAAGTACTTCTCAAAAAGCACTTGTGCATAATAGCTGTGATAGCTGCTAATGATTATGAAGGGGTTTTATCTTCATTACAGCAGGCCCAATGGGGTCTCCATTTATAAGTCATTTATTAAAAGTAGTTGCAATTTTTCTTAAAAATAAAAACAGCAATCTCATGATGCCACTAATTTAATGACTTTATTGACCAGAATAGCATTTCCCTAAGTGTGTTCCATGTGACTGCATTTCCTTGAAGAAAAGGGTTCCAGTCAAGTCTGGAAAATGCTTTCCTGGAGGTTCCCAGTGCACATCAGCATAGGAAAACCTCTAGGAGGGTTCACAGTTAAGGGGCTTTTTGCTCTTTGTTTAACCCAGTTTCCCAATCAACGCTACAATCTTTTAAAATTTTTTTCCCTTAAGGAAAGTCTATGAATATCTTACTTCATTAGTGCTCCATGGGACACTGATATGGAAGTCACTTGGGAAAAATGCCACTTATGGGGTCTAAAACCCTCTGACTATACCATGCACCCATTTTCCTTCCTCCTGGGAAACATGTGGGATTAGCAGACTGTTGTCTACTGGCAATGAACATGAGGACCTGTGTTCCTCTTCCCCTATGACGGGCCTCTATCTGCTACAAGGGGAGAGGACGGTCCCTGTTAAAAGGTTCCTAAGTTCAGAAAGTATGTTTGCTTGCTTCTGATACCTCTATCAAATATCAGGGAGAAAGCTGCTCCTCACGGTCTGAGTAAGAAAGAGCCGTGGGTCAGAATCATCACAGGCTCTGAAAACAGGCTCATGAAATCCCTCTCACTCCACTTTGAAATGGAAGCATGCAGGCACACAGGGACAAGATGGGAGAGGGCTGTGGCCATCTACCCCAGTCACTGGGGGTGACATGCCACCTCTATGGCCCAGAGCCATCTGCCCCCTTCCCACAGTGGGTGGGAGCAGAGCAGGGCAGTCTGGGGGCTTCCCTCTGCTGCCTTTGGAAATACAAGGCTCATGAAACCCTGTTCACCAAGCTCCATGTCTGGGAGCCTTGACATTTGTCTCACTGTGATCAAAGGAACCAAAGCACAGAACGGCCAGGAGAGGAGGTAGCCCTCCCTTTGCTGGGCGATAATGCAATGTGCTTTAAGAAATGTCACAAAGGCAGGCATGACTCTCAAGAATAAGCGAAAACTTCAGTCCAGGCCAGCGACAACCCAGACCCCACAGAGAGCCAGCATGTGATGTGACTACAGTTCCTTCTGCCGTTCCTAATAAGGGGTTCCTCCAGATCCACCTTGGGGAAGGGGGGGCATCGAAGCCGCATCAGCTCCTCACCTAAATAACATTACTCTGTGAGGAACTTCTTCACAGCAAATCAAAGACAGACAAGAGCTTTACGAAAATGTGAGACCTAAAATGACTATAAATTCTGAAATAACTTATATTTCAGTGAAGCATTCTGAATTTCAAGAAAGATTCTGCATCCCTCAAGCCTCTAGTATGCATGCTTTTCTTCTTCATTTTAACCACATCAAGAAACCCGCTAAGAGCCCTAGCAAATGAATACACTGCCATGGTCTGATTTCCTCATGTATACTTGACACGACTAACTGACAGATGGATTATCACAGGGTTATAGGGCAAGAAGGGAAATGGAGTCGCAGCAGCTCTTGCTTGAAAAGCACATGGCAGAGGGTCAGGTACATGGTAAGTGCTCAATAAATGTTAGGGATTGTTACTAGCATTTCTATGAAAATGGTTATCTTGATATTCACAAGAGGAGAACACATGGCCCAAGTTCCAAGGCCTGTACCCTGTGAGTTACAAATCAGATCCACAAACCTTCACTGGGTACCTCCAGTGCCACGCTGGACGTGTGAAGGGCTGCATTTGTCCCACTGCGTTTCCTCACATTTCATTAAACATACCTTTTTAGAATTCAGAGGGGGAAAAAAACAAGAAATCCCCTATGAGATTTCATTTTCTCAGCAAGGAAAGTTACGAAAGAATGTGAAATGAGCTCATTTTTTGCAAGCAAAATGAAACATTTTTATGTTTTATTCATGCAAAGTGAAAGCCCTTTTCCTTTGCAGCATTACAAATTGAATTTGCTCTTGTAAATTGCTGCTAAAAAAAAAGAATCAAAAGCAAAAGAAAGTTAAAAAAACCCAAAAAAACAGAAATACAAAGGCCTCTTCTAGGGAATGAAAACTCAGGAGACCAATGAGGGGAAACAGAACGTCTCAGTGGCAAACGAACTTTATTTACTGCTTCCAAAAGCAATCCGGCTCAAGGGCCCCCAACCCTTGACTTGGTGAGGTCCTATGTGGAGCCCTGACAGAAATTTTAAATTACACTTAGCTGTTAACAGTAAGTAAGAATAAGAATTAGTTAGAAAACATAGGTAACCCAGCCCATGTTTCAAAAACATAACTCAGAAAATGTAACCTAATTTACACTGATGTTGTATGGGCAGAGGGCGGGGGGCTCTCAGTGTCTGGAACCACCACCTCATCCTCGTATCAAGTGATAAACTGTCCTTGAAGCCTCCCAGAGGTCTGATTCCTTCCCACGCACCACCCCCTGCAAATCTTTGAAAGGAAGCCATGTAATTAGCTGAATCTACTAGTGTATGTAGCTTTAACAAATCATTCATTAAGAGCTAATATTCATTAAGCATTTGCTGTATCCCCACTGTTTCAATAACTATACATACAAGAAGGTACATATACACAAGCTTTGTGGTCCTTATGGTCCTCATTTCATACATGAGAGAAAATGAGGCTCAGAGCTTGACAAATTTTGTCAACTGGAATTTGAATCATTATTTTGCTGAATTTATATAGTGTTTGGCCTCACTTTAAAGAGTTGGGGCAGGCTGAAAATCTAATCAGTGAAATGTGCTCACAACCTAACCTTAAGAAAACACACCCCCATCTAGTTGTACATGTATATAATATGACCTTCATCTTGTTTCTGCCTTAAAATCAAACTTGGAGGACAGGAACCAGAGAAGGATCAAGCATCTCAGTATCCTTCCATCAAGGCTAACATTTTTAATGATGAGCAAACATCAGGTATTTTCCTTGTAAACTTAATCAATTCATGTCAACACATCAATTCTAGTGCCACAGCTCTGCCAAGGAAGCGAGTGACAGGTGTGTATGCATAAACCATCTACTCGTTTACCCCAAAGCACCTGGTCCAGCTGTCACCATTCATCACCTGTTCCAAAAGCTCAGGCACAACATGCTCCCAGGAAGGTTTATCCAATTAGCAGTCAGAGGATACAACAGCTTTGTCTTTTGCAGACCATTTCTGATTCCAGCAAAATGTGTGTTCTTTGGTGAATGCTTAACCATTTTCTTTTCTGGCTTAGGACTTGGAACTGAATGAATCAAAAGACTATAGAATCTGCTAATGCCCAGCCTTGCTAGAAAAGTCTGGGATAAGCCAAGATAGAGTCCCCTAGAGAGGACCACATGACCCAATAAACCAGAATGCCCAGGAATGGAACCACAAGCCCAGAAGAGTCATCTCTGTGGTGGTGGGGTTTTCACCTGCTTTTGCCATGCCCTGGTCCAGTTTCAACAAAGCAATAACTAATCATTCTATAGCTCATCCCTAAATGCTAGGCAATCCTCAGGTACCTTGAACATTGTCAAAGACTGGCTATACCTGAGGAGTTAAATGCACTTAGTGTAGTACAATTATTCGACAATGGTATCCAAGAATAATGTCTGTGATAACTGCTACTTTATTAGTTAGACTATGTATTTGAAAATCCTGACTTCCTCATTTCTAGTCATCCTGGAAAACAGAAAATTCACAACACATCTAAATAAGAAGCAGTTGCTATAAGTAACAAATTTTCAGCAGAATTTCAGAAAAATACACACTGTGTGGAATTTTGGCATGACCAGATATTGTAAACAACAAAATAGTTCAGCCAACCCCAAACCCCAGCAGTCTCTGATCACCACGATTTAATGATTTAAAGCTTGTCATTAAATCTGTAGAACCTCTCCCTTCAAACAGGCTCTCTATGAAGGAAATACCAATAGGAGGGCTTCTGAAATGGTTGAGATTTAAATAGATTGCAGAGAAGAGGGGAAAAAGGCAGGGGGTCGGGAAGCCTGGGTGAGTTGGGAACATCAATGAATGAAGATGAGCAGGAGGAAAAAGATGCAGAACTCAAGGCAGGATCCGGAGCTGACAGAAGGTTTGTGGTTCTGGGAAGGGAAGTGGCTCGGAGGATTTGCAAGGCAGGGAAACAGCGACGTGCTTTCATGTTTTACATTTCCAAAGAGTCTACTGTCAACTCCCATGTTCAGTGAGGTGCAGTAATTTCATATTAAGTTAAAATTGGGTCAGCTGGTGAGGTGACACACGACAGCACGCCCCCAGCACACTCACCGGCCGTTGTCGCGGCCCACACCCCACACGCGGATACTGGCGATGGGCTGGGAGTGGAGCACCGTGCGGTCCATGGGGTCCACCAGGCTGAGTGTGTCGTTCTCCAGGATCAGGTACATGTCTTTCCCCTGGGATTCAATGAGAAGACAGGTTATCATCCTCATGATGTTTGTGGCTATCTAGGGGCGCATTTCAACCATCAAAAGAAGTCACCCCTTCGATCTATTTGTTTTCTTAAGAAATATCCTCTCCTGACTAAAATATCCATAAATTTCTTATGTTCCCCTCACATACCCAATTTCTCTCTTTCTCCAAGTCCTCTGAAGTGAGTCCCTAACCTGCATTCTAGACAGCTCTTATTTTAATTAATTACACTTATGAATATTGACTTGAAGGAAAAAGGCTACTTGTGGGCTCCCTGGAGAACCTGGTCTTTTACTAACTCCGTGTTCTGAATTCTGGCATGATCCCTCTCTCCCCATTCCTCCTCTCTTGTCAGACCCTGCATCAGGCAAGCCTCGCCAGAATTCCCAGGCCTACAACCATGTCTGTCTCTTCTCACCTTGGACACCATCTCGTATCTTTGTGAATTGGCAGGCCAATAGTAGGTGCATCTTTGTGACAATTCTTGGTACTGAAATAGCTAACATTTATATGACTTCAACACATCTCAAACATTATGCTTAAGGTACATTGGCTCATGAACCCCCCAATTTCCCTAAGAACTTGGTTTGTTATTATCTCCAATTAGCAAAATGGGACACTGAGGCTAAAGATTAAGGAACTTGCTCAAGGTCTAACCCAGAAGCTGAGATGCTATTAGCTACATGGGCGCTGCTGTAATACCCATATAGGGAAGGCCACGTTTCTCATCTCTGGCATTACACTTCAGGTGTTTAGGTTTTGGTCTCCTGTCCCCACACAACACTGGCTCTTTGAGACAGGAATGCTTATTCCCCTTGCAATTTCTCAGGCATAATTCGAAGGAATTATTGTGCTGTACCAAAAGACTAAAGACTGTCTCCTGAAGGTCATGGTCAGCCCAGATGCTGTGGCACTAAAGCTAGGAAGGTCTAATTAGGCTGAACAGTGAACCTTCTTGGTAGGTTTTGAAAGCGGGAGAGAGAAATTCTCATTGCTCTGTTTTGAGGTGATATTTTAGGTTCCCATCAACGGTTCTCAGTATGAACACAAGCTCTGCTGTTTCAGTGGCAGACTTGGGCTTTTCAGTGCCTGTGCCGGTCGATCTGCTGCAACTCTACAGCTGAGATCCAGGATGATCTGTGATCTTCCCAAAGGGTGGAGAAGCCATTTCCAGATGAGTACTAACAGAACACGACCTGGGCAGACTGCTGGCTGCACAGACCCCACAGAGCCTAAGGGCAACAAGCTATCTCAGCTCTATGGCACCCCCAAATGGCTTCGGTGGAAAATTGCAGCTCATTCAACCGGCTGCAGGGTCAAGCCTCTGTGGACACTTCAAGGTCACAGCTGTCTCCAGACCCTGGGTAAAGAGCCAAATCTTAATTAACCAGTTTGTAGATTGATCATGATTGAGGTCCTGAGGAGATTCAATCTTCTAGTACCTATTGGAGGCTGGGAAACTGATCAGTAGCTAAGCAATGGTAGGCAGACAAGAAGAGAAGCCAAGGTAGAATGGTGGGCTACAGTCTCCCACCCTATCCTTCCGCTAAAGGCTGGGCTCCATTCCCCCAGGCTTGAGCTGAGGGCTGCCACTCAGTGGCACTTCGGAGCTGTATGATCTCAGAGGTCCCGAGAACTGGGAACCAGATGGCTGAGCAGGTCCCACGTCCTGCAGCAGCTGGCCAGGTGATGTGCCTTGGGATAACTGATAGCTATCTGGGGATTTCTGGTGCTTTCTTCTCTCTCTCTGTCCCTTCCCCTCCAGGAATTAAGCACTGACTGGAGCCTATGAGAGATCTTCAGCTAGACCCTCCAGTGAGTGACCCCCACTTCCTTTCTTTGCAGCTGCCTCAAGGCCAACACCTCGCAGGTACTAAGAGATTCTGAAAGGCTTTGTTTGGCCGATATCATCGCTTGATAATGTTAAACATGCTTTGTGGGATGTGACCAACAGTGAGGTGAAGTCCCACTGAGCTGGGTGACATATTTCCTTTGGGCTGATTCAGCTTAGAAACAACAGTTGGTCCTCCCAAAGGTAGCAGAGTTTGTCTTCATCGGTTAATTCTCCTAACAATCTTTGCATTATTGGACAGAACCAATGACAACTGCCAGCAGATAATCTAAAATGAGATTGGATGGCTGAGTGTGGGGTGTCCCTGAATGAAAATGCACGCTGGCTTCTGCTGAGCCTGTTCAGCATAGTCGTGTCGCTCATACCCATCTTTTCAGTTTTCTCATCAACAAATAGTAGCTCCTGGTTGGCCACTTGTCATGTCTGGCTAACTGGTTTTTGTTCCCAAAGAGCCAATGCTTATGCAGCTGTCACCTAAAGATAAGACACTCCTCTGACAGGCAGGACTTTATTTTCAGCCTACCGTTCAACAAGGACTTGTGCTGTACATGGCGGGGCATGGCACAAAGTCACTGCTCATGACCCCAAGCATTAAGCAGTACTTTATATACTATGAACTAGAAACACTGCCTGAAGAATTTATTGTTTCAGAAGTAGGAAAAGAATGGAGAAAAACAGGAATGGCCTATCAGAGTTAACTAGGTGGGGAGGCAGGGTAGATTTTCAGGCCTGGCTGCCCCCTATAACCCTATTCTCCTATTGGAGCCAATTGGAGATCCCTTGAAGAATCTTACTAAACTCTTCTAAAATGATAAACCCCTGTGGTGGTGTTCATCAGTCATTCACACATTAGTATAAATTAATGCTGCCCTTCCTTTTACATCCTAAGTGAGATTTGTTCCTTCAGTATAATAGCATTTTGACTGAAGGAGCGAGAAGACAGGTGGATAATCTAATGGGAAAGATAGTCCCAGATATTTGGGTAGGAGATGGATAGTAATGCTGGTAAAGTAAATGTTGGTTAAGAGAAATAGCTGAAAAAAGTCCTTTTCCTGGATGCAAGAAAATTTTCCCTCCTCTCCTGCCATGCCTGGGATCTAAAAGTCAGGTTGGCAGTGCAGTTTGGCCCCCTTCTAAGGTAGACAGAATCCTCCATGGGAAGCCTCGGAACCCACCCCCCTTTATGATAGAGTTGCTAGGATAAAATAAAAGTGCCTGAGGTCTGAACAGCCCAATCAGAAAGCAAACTTTCACTACCAGTGCTCTGCTAAAAGGGGACGGTTTGAGTGCAGTAGATTCATGTAGGAAGCATGGCCCCAGGGTGCGTCCACTACACTTGTTCAGAGGCCTCAGAACACAGTAGAAATGTGCTTTCCTGTTCAATATGACTTTTATACAAATTTCATATTCTTATTTTTCTTTCTGGAATTCACTAACATTTCAAATCAGAATTACCATGTTCAAAGTGAGAAAGAATATGTAAGTATCAATTCCAAAGCTCACGTATATTGTTCATTTTCAGATTGTCCATAAAGAGGACTGTGTTATAAAAGAGCAATTTGTCAACTTTTAGAGGAAGGCATCAACATTTTGGTGTGTATGTGTGAGGGTCACCTTCCCCCCTGAGGATATACTTTGAGTGGGCCTGGGTCTTCTTCCTGGAAAACTGCTGTTATGTAATGGCATACCCAATTTTGCATCCAAGTTTAGGAGTGTCTGGACTCTAAAGCCCATCCATGTATCTCTGGGGATCCAGGGATACCAAGCTGAACTCTGTCATTTAGACCTAGAGAAATGTTCTCTCCCAGGGGCCTCATCATCACTAAGATCTGCTGGTGCTCCCAGATAATTAATTCACTGGGTATATCATATCTCCACTATCTGCCTTTACAGGAAATGCACCCAAAAAATACCTTCAGTGGCCCTCAGGATCACGTCTCACAGAACTCTGGAGTCTCACGAAGCACAGCAGAATGTAAACAAGTCTGTCATTCCCACGTGGTACTTACCTCTCCCCAAATGCCGACTGTATCTCGAATGTCATTTTTGCAGTAAGAAAGCTGCCTGATGCAGTTGTTGACAGCAACACTACTTTTACCAGGCGCAAGGTCCTCCTCTGCCATTTCTACCCAGCCCAGAGAACGCACAGCAAAACACTAGAGGACAAAGTCAGGGAACATGAAATTACTCATTAGTCACAAATCAACCGCTATCAATTTACCCTAAGATCCTCTACAAGGTATGCATTTTTAATTATTACATAATATTCAATCATCTAATGTAGCCAAGGAATCTAGGACTAAATAATTAAATTGTGACTATTTTTGCTCTTAAAAACATGTAGTGATAAATATCTTCTTGCCTAACATTCTGTGTGTGTGTGTTCAAGGTTTTTTCTAAGAATTGGTTCCTAGAAGTAGAATTATAGGGCTAATAGGTATAAAAACTTCTAAGTTCTTTTATCTATTATAAGGTAGTGTTTTTTTTCCATAATAAGAAATGCAACCCCCATGAGATCTGTTGTTTGTTAAATACCTGGAAAAAGACAATAGGATGAGAAATTAAATATATATATCAGGCACTTGTTTCTCATTGTTATGAAGCAAAATACATTCTCTAATACCCAGAAATAAAGAAAAATGGGGAAAATGTGTTTTCATGATAATAGGTCTCAGATCCTATAAGCATTTATTTGCACCAAATCCTGAAAAGCCTGCAGAATGGATGAATTGTGAGATACCTTAAAGAAAAAAATCTATTTACTCTTTTATCACTTAGGGACATCTTACTTGAGCTCACGCTCCTTGTTCAGTACTCAATTTTTTAAGTATAAAAAATATTATATGCATATTGCAACAAGTAAAAAATCCACAGACACACAAAGAAATTCATGCAACATGTGAGGGTGATTTGGCTGGAGTATCTGCCTTGGTCTTAACTGCCAGGGTTGGAGATGGCCTGAAGTGGGGTCCCTCATCCCACCCTGCAGTCTGAGTCCATGATCCCTGGTGCAGCCTGGGGTCCCTCTGAAGTGGCATGCCAGTTGAAGAGACCACCTTCCCAGGAGAATAGGGGCAGGCAAGGTGCCACACTTCTGCTGGGGGTAACAGGCTGGCTCTTGAAGAACATCTTGTGAAGTTTCCAAAGGGAACTTCATAATAAAATGCAGAAATGCAGCAAACTGTGCCACAGTGACCACACTCAGTCCAGTTCAATGTTCCCCGTTTCAGCCCCTGGGCCCAGACAAGGTGCCTCTTTCATGAGTTGCTAGTCACACTTTCTCAGGGGGTGAAAATACCAAAATGCCAAAGACAATCTACTTAAGCAAACAGCATGTGGATCCTCACATCCTAGCGGGGAAGCTCCAGGGAAAGGCCCAAGGTTCTGCGTTAACCACCTGCTGCATGCGGACCATGCATGTGATGCTTTTCACAAATATGCCAAAAAGAGGAAGCTGTCCCTGTGATGACTGCAAAAGCCACTCAGGACCCTGTGCCTGGGCACAAGTCTGGGAGATGCCCATCACACTTCACCTGCACTTGTGGATCGGCTGCAGTGAAGCTGCTCAGAGAAGAGGATCCCACAGCTACTATGGCTGGCTGCTGAGCAACTGAGGGCCAGCCTCTGGTCAGCAGCTGGCCTGCCTGCTGCAGCTCTGCTTCTATAGCCCTGAGACCAAACCGTGATTCTCCAGGTGACAGTCAGATGTGCCCCAGGTGCACACCACAGTGCATCTTCCCAGTTTTATTCAGCCCCACAATTTCACGGGTCTATGGCTCCTAAGTACCGCATTTTGCTTCCTCTAAGGAGCACTGTCTCTCATTGGTTCCTAACATAGTCCCTCATCAGTAAAATCACAATGCCACAATCTATCTGTGGCCTGCTGACCTTGTTATATACCACCTTATGATGAAAAGACAGCTTTTCCATCTTCACCCATGTATGGAGGTTTTCCCATACACCAACAAGCAATTCTCAGACACAGATAGCTTCAGATTACATTGGTTAAGGGCTCAGAGCTACAAGAAGACCATCACCCTCACTTCAGATGTTTAGTTACATGCCCAGGTTGTCACCTGTCTTTCCGACTACAGATTGGGGTTTCTGATGATCCCCTCCTTGGATTCGATTAATTTTTTACAGCAGCTCACAGAACTCAGAAACATTTTACTTACTAGATGACCAGGTTATTAGAAAAGGATGTTACTCAGGAACAGCCAGATGGAAGGGCAAGATGGTGTAGTATCCATGCCCTTTCCAGGTGCACACCACCCCCCAGTCTCCCCATGGGTTCATCAACTCGGAAGCTCTCTGAACCCTGTACTTTCAGGTTTTCATGGAGGCTTCACTAAATAGCAACAACTGATGAAATCATTGGCCACTGGCAGCTGATTCAACCCCTAGACTCTCTTTCTGGAGGTCAGGGACTGGGACCGAAAGTTCCCAACCCTCTGAAGGCCTGGTTGGCTCCTCTGGTGGCCAGCCCCTAACCTTAGGTGCTTTTCCAATGTTCACTTCATTAACATAACAAAAGACACCATGATTATCCTCAACACTTTGGATATTTCAAGGGTTTTGGGAGCTGTGAGCCAAGAACTGTGGATGAAGATCAGATAATTATGAGAAATGTATTTGAATGACCAAATATATATTTTCTTATAAATCACAATATTGCACACCTTTAGCTCTCTCCTTGTACCTCAAAAAGTAAACTGAAACTCCTGATTTGGAGAACATTTATATTATCCCAACCTACTTTATTAGCAGAAAATAAGCATAGCATAGTTGTATCATCTGACACAACCAACCATTGTTCAAATGTCAAGGTATGTGAAAACAAGTAAAGGGAAACCTCACTGACATGGCGTTGGGGGGCCTGCAGGGGAAACTCCATAGTGTTCCACTCCTTGTACATCTCAGAACCCATCAGAAAAGACGGACTTAAAAGTCCATGCTGTTCTGGCTATGTAACCATCCAGCAGGAGAAGGAAGGTGTCTGCTCTTCTTGCAACAGCCGGAGCCGGGCCAATAAGAGTCACAACTCAGCCAATGATGAGAAGCCATGATACACGAAAACTCCAAGTTTACTCCAATGGACCCTTTGCTTAGCAACAGCCTTTCCAACAAGGCCCGTTTCCTCTATAAAAAGAGCGGTCCTCCTTTTGTTCTCCAGACACACTGTAGCAAAAATGGAAATTCCATGGCCAGGATTCCCACCTGATCCTAATCTCACCCATTGTATAGTGGGATGAGGTGATACTTAGATTACTGCACAGGCACGTACTTGCATACCTGTTGGCAATAAGCTATTTATATCTGTTATTCCTTTAAAAAGAGTTCCACAGGGTGCTGTGGCAGAGGGAAGGAGAGCAGAGCCTAGAGAAGAGAGCGGAGACTGGGGAGCCTGGAATGGAGGCAACGCTTAAGCAGAGTCTGGAGTCGGGAGCAGAGACGGAGCCAGACTTGCCCCGTAGAGACAGTCGGTGGTGGCCATGAGAATAAAGCTTGTTATGAACCCCTTTTTACCCTCAACATCCTGTTGTCATTATTCGTTCTAACTGAATCCACTGTGAACTTACTTGGAGCTGGGAATCCCCTCTGCCCAGAGCTACACATGCCTATGGTTTTGCCAGAGCTTGCATGTCCTGGATTGCAATTCTGTACTATTCCTGAATAAAACTGTTTTTCTGGCAAAATAATTGTTCTATTTTTAAGGTTAAGAGGGGTTAATTCATTTAATCTCCCCCCCCCACCATCCCTTAAAAGTAGATAGTAAGTTACTATACCCATTTTATAGATGAGGAAAGTGAGTGAAGCACAGGGCTAGTAAGTGGTGGACCTAGGATTCAAATCCAGGCATTCTGCCTTCTGGGCTCCCATTCTTAACCTACCTGCTAAAAACTTGAGATTTTATGGAGAAGCAGTGTCAGATGGGGCAAGGCCCACAAAGGGGGCTCAGAATAGTTAGCAACATCAGTAAGGTTCTGGTGTATATGGCCCAAAGGCAGGGACAGCCTGGATTAAAATATTACCTCTGATTTACTGGTACTGTGATCTTGGCTAAGTAATTTACAAAGTCCCATTTTTTTTCATTTGTGAAAACGGGAATAACAATAATAGTTAGTAGGTTCTGAGGAGGAGAATACAATATAATACAGGTAGAGAACCTAGCATAGAGGAAGCATTCAATGAACATTTGTTGAATGAAGGAGCGAATGAATGCAGTGCCACATAAATCCTGATTGGAGTGATTGAAATGAAAGGCAAAGACGTGTGATTAGAATGACCACATGTTCTCATTGCCCCCTGGATAGTAATGATTGATGTTTATTGTGCTGGCAAAATTATTAAGAGCGGCTCCTTTTACTCTCAAAAGTGCCCTAGTTTGGGTAATAAATTATGTTCACTCAAGTCAAAATTCCAATGAATTCAGTCATTGATACGGAAAATGAGACTTGGATGGGATACTGAGATATGCCTAGGCGGAAATGGGGTTCAGGATCAACATTAGCTGCTATCAGTAGAGCACCGTGGTGATGTGATCCTGGGCAGAAGTGAACCTAAGATACCACTATTACTGTAGGATGATCATATGCCCTTAAAACTAGGTCAGGAACACATTTCCCCACTTCCTCTAATTGCCTACTACAAAATTGTCAGCCTGTGATACTAAAAATAATTTAAGAACAATAAGAAGGCAACAACAACAAAAAAAAAGCTGGTTGCTTTTTCTCCCCTGAATCCAAGAACAAATGGATTTCAACCTAAAAACCCTCATTAGAAATTAAATGCTTTTTTGCCAAGAAATGTGAATGCTGAACTCCACAATAGTATGTTACATTGTTTCGTCATGCTGATAAAAAACAAGAGCCCTAACTATATTATTATGATGAATTAATTTTAAGTAATTTTCCTTGTGCAATCTTGCCGTTGTTGAAATCTAGTTTCTGATCTGAAAAGCTTCACCACCAGTCCACTGAGACAAAGTTAGAGGAAATGGATGTTATGGGGAATAACTAAGCTCCCTGTACTTCCTGCACAGAACCAGGCAGCAAAGGGCAACCTGCGCTGTTTGGTGCTGCCCCCGTGTGGCCAGGACGTTTATAGTCACTATCGCTTACACTTGGGAAATAACTGATGCTTACTGTAATGAGCT